AGAGAGAGAGAGAGATTAAAATTTTTCAATTTATTAATAAATTTTAGTGTATTTCTCCATCATATCAACCTTTATACTGTGCTGGCGGTGTATGTGGTTTGGTATTACGTAGTTCTGATATGGATCATTGTCCTGAACCATGTTCAGTTTTTAAACAATGCAGTACATGTTTGAAACATTCACACTGTGGATGGTGTTCTTTAGATTCAGCTAATATAACTGGTCAAGGAATATGTACAGAAGGTTCATTAGAAGCACCAGCAGATCATCCAGCTGGTGGAACATGTGAAATGTTATATTATCAACAGTTACCTACAGTTGAATTACTAAGTAAGGAAATCAAATATATAATATATGATTTAAATATTATTAATATAAAGATTATAATATTTATAATTATATTATTTTATTTGTATTTAGAGTTTTTGGAAATCTCAGACAATGTTACAATGTTAATTCCAAATGTGATCTCGAAACCAATATTTTCTTGGCATTATGTGCGATGTCCACCAGAAAATGAATGTACTAATGGACACCATACATGTTCTACAAAAAGTGAAAAATGTTTTGATTTAGAAGAAGGATTTGAATGCATGTGTGGCGATGGATATAAAACTGAAACGTAATTTTTATCAAGATATTTTTCTCTTTATCTCTTTATTATTATTTTATTAATAAAGAAACAATTCATTAATTATTTTATATTTATTTCAGTCCATCATCATTTAATGAATTTGGAAGGTGAGATTCAAATTTTGAGTTATTTATTTATATATGTTATTTATTAAATATTTTTAATATTAAGTATGTACAATTTATTTTATTCTTAGAAAAATTTGCGTTCCAATGTGTACGCAAGGTTGTGTTAGAGGAACATGCATAGAACCAAATATTTGTCGTTGTGACTTTGGTTATGTAGGTGCCAATTGTTCCATTCAGTGCCAGTGTAATGGTCATAGTAATTGTGCAGGTCCAGATAAATTAGACGTTTGTTTAGAATGTCATAATAATACAATGGGACCACAATGTGACAAATGTAGACCTTTATTTGTTGGAAATCCAGCAGATAATGGTCAATGTGTACCATGTCTTGAATATTGCAATGGACATACTCGAATATGTATTAATGAAAGCATGACTGTACCGGTAATTTATATATTAAAAGTATAATTGAAGATAAAAAAATCTTTTTTTTAATAAAATAAAAGTAATATAATTTTTTAGGATCCAAATTCAATTGAAAAAATGTCTATAGAATTACTAGAAAAACAATTAGTTGAAGGCCCTGTAGCTAAAGCCAAATGTGTAAATTGTGGAAATAATACAAGAGGTGACAAATGTGGTGAATGTATGACTGGTTATTTCAGAGGAACAGAAGATCTTCGTGATGAATGCCGACCGTTAGTATTATTATATCAATATTTTTATTTATGTATATTTATATTATATGTATTATATATATTATTAAATGTGTTTACATATTATTAAAACTTTATTTTTCTAGTTGTCAATGTCATGGACATGGATTTACTTGTGATCCAGTAACAGGAGAAAAATGCAATTGTGGTAATAATACAGAAAGTGATCCAACTTGTACTAGTGGACCTATGAAAAGTACAAATACTGGTAGTTCACCATGTTGGATGGTACAATGTAGTAAATGTAAAGAAAATTATGCTGGGACACCAACTATGGGTCATCAATGTTATAAAACTGTAACTGTTGACAACAAAATGTGCTTTGACTCTAAATTAATAGGTGAATTATTTAACATATTTATATCGTATATAAATATATTTATTATTATATTATATTATATCATTTTAAATTAATTTTCTTCAAAAAATTTTATTAATTATAATTTAAAATTACATATATTTTGATCAAACATTATTTTTCTTAAATTGCATCTTTCTATTATGTCAGGAGGATCTTATGGTTCGTACTCCTCCATGTTAAATTATATATTTTTTTTCTTTTTTCATTAATTTTTGTGCATTCATATGAAAACTTATTATTTTCATTAATTACAGACGAGTGTAAAATGAAACCAAAACCATTGAATCCCGGTCAAACGGTATTTTATATGGTACAACCTCGTTTTATGAATGTTGATATTCGAGTGATGGTGGATGTTACTCAAGGGGCTTTAGATTTATTTCTTAGCCCTCGAGATGATTCTTTCGTTGTTACATTAAATTCAACAACAGGATATCAAGATGTAAGAATTTATGTTTTTTTTTTTTTATTATAAAGCATTGAATATTAGATGTCTTCTGAATTAAAAATTATACTTACAGGTTGAACTGGATAGTAGATTTATGTGGCGAAAAAATTCACATAATATGTGGTTAGACGAACAGACTCGTAGTCAAATGAGATTAGTCGAATTCCAACCTCATAATACTTTTTCATTTCCTTTAAATGACTACACTACAACCGAACCGACTTGGAATACTGGTCCTCAATATATTGTAATGGAAAGATATGCAGAAGGTTTAGCTACATTTTTAACAATCGAGAATAGAAATACATTCTTGGTAGTTAGAAATCTTACGAATCGGTTAGTGTTGACATTACCGCAAGACAAACATGAACTTCATGAAACAAAATTTCACATCGCATTAAGAGCGATTGATCCTGTGCATCCAGAAATTAGTGGTCGAGCTGCTTACGGGATGATTTTCTTTCGACAAGATCAACTTCATATTGATTTGTTTGTCTTTTTTTCCGTGTTCTTCTCTTGTTTTTTTTTATTTTTAGCCGGTTGTGTAGTTGCATGGAAAACGAAACAAGCAGCGGATGTTCGAAGAGCACGGAGAAGACATGTTGTCGAAATGTTGCATATGGCTAAAAGACCTTTCGCATCAGCTACCATCATTTATGATCGAGATGGTAATGACTGTAATCCAAGCTCGCCTCAACGAAAAAGCAGACGTAATAAATTAGTCAGCTTTCATAGTGATGTTAGACCTGTAGCAGTTGAACCTACTGATGATGGAGTTGCGGCTGTAGCTACTGTTTTCATTAGATTGCCTGGAGGTCGACAAGCTCCTGTTAAATTAGCTCTTGGTAGCTCATTAATACTGTTAACTAGAGTTTATCCAGTTAACAGTAGAGTGTTCCTAAGACGTAGAAACAGTCACGCGTTGAACTGAGCTTCTTTCTGTAGATATTTGTTTTGGCTATTTTTAAGTCTGCTTATGCTCTCAAAATTTATAGAAACATGTAGCAACCATGTTTATTTTTTTATTAATCATTTTTCGTTGATCTCACCATTTTAATCGCCAATCTTGTGGAATCATAATATTTACAATTATTTTTCAAATTGGAAAACTTTTTATAAATAGCATTTATATCTCTCGAATTTACATGAGTTGAATCGACTTTCAATCATTGAATTTTTAATAATACTGTTTATTGACATTATTCAATGTCTGCCAGTAATATGAAATTTTAGTCGAAGGGTTGTATTATAGTTATAAAGAAACACTTCTAAGGGTATTTAAACTAAATGATAATATATATACATATACACAAATACATATATATTGTCATACCATTCCATGACGAGACTGTATGTTTGTATATAAAAATCTGTAATTATGTATTAATTCGTAATTTACACGATTTTGTAGAAGCATTTTATGCAATAAGACATGATTTTATGTCTTGTAACATTTGTAGCTTCGAAGAAAAATGAATGATTTTGTTGTTATTTTATGAAATTTTGTATAACCATCTATTGAAAAAAAAAATGCAAAGAAAAGACTACAAAGACAATTATAATTTTAAACTATTATTTAAATTATCAAAAATTTATATTTCAATTAACTAAGCGAAATTGCTGAAAATTTTGATAAAAATAAATTCAATAATATTTAAATCTTGATAAATAACGGAAATAATTAATTTTCTTATTATTATAAATGAATTATTTAAAAATATTATCTATTTAAATACATTGTAAAGCTTGAAGTGATATAACATTTTAATACAAATGTTATAATGGTCCTTTGTAGATAATTATAATATAACAAAAACGCAATAATAATCTGTCAACTGATTATTATCTTTTTAGCAGTTGACAAACAGGGTGATTTTTAAATAGGAGGATGGATATATATAAATATATGATTATGTATGTTTGTATGCTATGTTAAAAAGTATTGTTAAAATGGCGACCGAAAATAAATTATATCCGCATAATTAAAAAATGATCAGTATTAGAAGTTGATTGGAAAGAAGCTCGATAATGCGTGCGAAAAGGTTCCTATGCCAAAAAATGAGGAATAATATAAATATCATAGTACATATGATATATTTATGACAAAAAACAAAGATTTTAATTAGAAAATGTTGTAAATTGAAGTATGCACATTAAAAATATTAATTGTAAAATATCAATAATACGATATATATATATATCGTCATTATCGATTTGAATATGGAAACTAAAAACAAATGTGTCCTTTATCAAAGATAATAAGCCAAGATTACATATTAATCAAAATATAGTAATAAAAATAGGATATTGATGTAATGATATTAATAACGCGTACTTTTAAGATAATTTTAATAAGCAAATTAACTGAGAAAGTGAGCAATGTAGTGACATAGTGTAAATATTATGAGGCGTTTTTTGCTAAGCTGTTATACGGTACCAAACGAGTTTAATATATTCTGTACAGATTGTTTCTCAGGATAGTTGTTATACAACTTGAATATTTCCTACTGTATTTGTAGAAAAAGATTTTCAGAACTAAAAAACTTATATATCATTTAATCTCGAACTTTTTTTAACGCAATTTATTTTTTTGTATAGTTAAGATATTGTAATTAATATGTATAATAATATTTGAGTAAATTTTTAAGATATTTATTTTTGATAAATAATAGGATTAATAACATTTTCTGAAAGTACAGTGTGAAATTTTCAAGTTATTTTTGGAAGCATTCTAATTATATCATCATGTTATAAGAATGCACGGTTCCTTGATTGTAGGAACATACACTGAGCAAATATTAAGTATGCATATGACAATGTTGTACTTTTTATATATTGAATCTTCGAATTTAATTTTTTGTTTTTTCATAAGTCTCGTCATATATCTTGTCAAATAATATTTTTGTTACCATTTGCTATATTTGTCTTTCTTTTTCTCTATCTTACTAGCATATTTTTTTTCGTTTCATTTTCATTGTAGTATACGATTCTATTCGTTTACTTTCATGCGACCAACTATCCTAACTATTATCGCGAGTCTGTAAACATTATATAAGAATAATACAAACTAACACATATATATATATATATTTATATAGATTTACGTAAATAGAGATATATATATTATATATATAATAAATGTATATAATATATACTATGTATACATAATGAATGTATAATTTCTCGGTTGTACAGATCTGAGCGTTATCTTCAAAATGTTCTATTTTATATATAATTATTACATTGCATTCAATGTAAGCGATATCTTCCAATGCCGGCATTGTATCATCGCATTAAAAAAACGTTTGTAACATTATGAGCTACCATCGTTTATAAAAGTGAAAATGAAAAGGTTGTGAAGTCCGAGTGTCGGCATCCTTAGAAGGATTCGTCAGCTTCATGGATTTATTTGTAATATGGAGAAGAATATGAGGTTGTGCTAATGAAGATTAATGAATTGTATTGAGAAAGCTTTAATAAACATGTGTAAAATTGGATTTCACTTGATGAATTTTCATTGTACTTATCGTTAAATAAGTAAGATTTTATTCCATTAAATTATGAATATAATATCTAATATGTAATATATATTGTGATATTGTGTTACTATAGTAACCAAGTATATACCAACAAATACTTCAAAATTTGATTAAACACGCGATTGAATTTGTACATGGAATATATTCACATTTTTTAATATCAAATATATAGTAATTTTACATAAAATTGTGAACGTTTTTACATATATATTTAGACATAAATTAAAATAATAAGTAAATATAATGAGATTTAAAATTTCTGCACAAAATCGTAATGGTCACAAGCGTTTAGTAACTTGTGTTGCATGGAATTCGACAGAAGAAATTTATTCTTGCGGGTATGATTTAATATTTATAAAATAAAAATCTAAATAGTTACATAAAATCATCATATTTTTCTCTTTATGATAGAGAAGATCATTTATTAATATCATGGCATTTGGAAGGTGGAATTGCACATTCCAGTATTATTACAGAATTTCCCGATGATTTTTATCCGACCGACATGCAATGGCATCCGCGACCAAATTATGCAGTGTTAATTACAAAAAAACAATCATTAGATATTCTCTTAATTACTACAGCTGATGGTATTTGTAATTTTATTTTTTCAGTATTAAGAGTTCTTAGAAATTTTATAATTATATTATTTTATATATTTTTATATATTTTAATATTTATAATATTATAATATTAATAGTTTTTATCTTAATATTTTTGTTATAGGAAAATATCATTTAGTTAATAAAAATGGACGTATAGAAAAAAGTGTAGATGCTCATAAAGGAGCAACAACAGTAGGTAGATGGAGCAATGATGGTTCTGCTCTTTTGACTGGTAGTTAAAAACACTTTACAAAAATATATATGATACAAAATTGATTATAATTCAGTTAATTTTTTATTATAATTTTAGCTGGAGAGGATGGTTTGATAAAAGTATGGTCACGTAGTGGCATGCTTCGTTCTATTATAGTTAAAGGAATGTTTTCCATATTATCTGCTGCTTGGAGTTTAGATTGTACAACAGTATTATATTCTCAAGGGGCTCACTTAACTTTTCAATCACTTAATTCTAATTCCAAACCTCGAAAGGTTAGACAAACTTACAAGTATATAATATTTTACAATTATAGAATAATGTTTAAAAAATTATATTTTATTAGTTATTAGCACACGATGGTCTAATTTTGGTTTTATGTTGGAATCACACTCATGGATTAATCATTTCTGGTGGGGAAGATTGTAAATATAAGGTAGAACATAAACTTAATATAAAATTTAATTATAACAAATAACAGAATTAATGAGAAGTTAAATTTTTTTTCAAGGTATGGGATTCTAACGGTACTCAATTATTTTCTAGCAATGTCGAAGATCATCCTATTACAGCACTAAGTTGGAGTTATTCTGGAGATTACTTTGCTGTTGGATTATTTAATACAATCAAACTTTGTGATAAAACAGGAGTTAGTTCAAATTACATATTTTAATATTTAATGTGTCTTTTTTTATTGATATTATATATATATTTTTAGTGGTCTCATTCGTTAGAAAAAATTAATTCTGGAAGCATATATAGTATTGCTTGGTCAAGTGATAGTACTCAAGTAGCTATGGCTTGCAGTAATGGAAATGTATTAACAGGACATATAATAGACAGGTATTAAAAGATATAAAATTAATTATTGTTTTAAATAATTATATTTATACTTGTACACTTAATATCAATGAAAAATAGGAGATTGGAGTGGAATAATTATGAAGCCACATTGATTAAAAGAAAAGTGATTGAAATCAGAGATGTGGGTAATGAAACACGAGAAGAATTAGAGATATCAGATCGTGTAGTTCAGCTAGAATTTGGTTTTGATTATTTAGTTGTAATTACACCAGCACAATGTCATGTTTATTCTGTAGTAAACTGGAATACTCCTGCCATATTTGATTTGAAAAATACTAGTGTATCAGCAATACTTCTTGCAGAAAAGTAGATATTAATTATTTTACATAGAACAAAAATTTTAGAAGAAATAACATTTAAAATGTATTATTTTATAGGCATTTTTTATTAATTGAATGGAATACTGTATCATTATATAGTTATCAAGGTCGTTTATTAGGAACTCCAAAATGGAAAGGAATGACACAGGAACGACTTTATTCCCCTTGTATATCAGTATGTTCTGATACTTTAGTTATACGATCGCAAAGTAACGAAAAATGTACGATTAAATAATATTTCAATGAACACAAAAAGATAAATGTAAAAAAATTGATGTTAAAAATTATTTTTTAGTACTTCATGTATTGGAAATGGCTTACAATAAACCTATAACAGAAAGTCAGACTTATACACATCTTCAAAATATTACAAGAGTTGCGTTAAATTATATTGGCGGTGTAACAGATCGACAAGTAGCATTAATCGATATAAATAAAGATTTATTTCTTATTTCTATAAGAACCACTGGTTTTGGTAGAGTATGTAAAATAGGTATGTAATTTTAAAAAATTATTTGTTACTTAATATACAATTTTAGCAAAATTTCTATAATTTTTCATGTTTTCAGCCGCTATGGCGCAAGATATTGCATGGGCTACTGATGCAAATGTTTTAGCGGCGATGTTGGATGCAACATTATCTGTATGGTTGTGTCCTAATTGTGTACATTATAGTGATCGTAAAATTATACGAAAGACAAGAATCGATAAAGAAAGCAGGTTTTCTTTTATTTCTATTATACAAAATATATTTTGTTATTTTTTTTAATAATGATATATATAGTTTATTTATATCTTTAGTGAATTTGGTAAACAACCAAGTATAGCAAATGTTTATAATGGGATAGTAATGATACGACGTGGTGATGGAGCATTAGTAGCTTCTTCCTTTTATACATTTTTTATTAGTCTTTATCAACATATTTTAAACAAGAAATGGAAAGAAGCGTTATCGCTTTGTCGAATCGCTCAAGTAATTAATATTTCTTCTTCCTTTTTTTTATAGTAAATCAAAATTTTTTTAAAATATAAAAATTATTAATAGAATGAAATATTGTGGACTTGTATGGCCGTTATAGCAACTGATAATAAAGAATTAAACGCTGCAGAAGAAGCATATGCAGCAATTTCTCGATATGATAAAGTTGATTATATTCAGTATATAAAGGTAATAATTTTATTCTACTAATTTCTATTTCTCTAAATAAATTAATAATTTAAATTTTTCAAAATTAGAGTTTACCAAATAAAACAGAAAGGCTAGCAGAAATGGCACTCTTGTCAGGAGATTTGTTAACTGCAGAAGGTATACTTTTGCAAAATGGATTAATAGAGGAAGCTATACGAATTAATATTGAAGTATACAATTGGAATAGGTATTTTTTTTAATGTATAAACAAAATTTTTAATCAATAATATTGTTTTTTTTAATTTATCAATTATTAATTATTAGAGCATTAGAATTAGCAATCAGACATAAAAAGCAATTGGATGAAGTATTAAACACAAGAAAGAAATATCTTCAAGTAATTAATAAAAAAGAAACGAATCAAAGTTTTCTTGCATATATGGCAAATGTTGCAAAGACACAAGTAAATTAAATACTCTTACTTTATCACTCTGTTTCAAATGTTTTGCACATAATTTTGTCTTTTTTTACTAACTAGTGAGACCAAAACTATTTTCACCAGGAGATTATCGAGGATACTTCATTTAAACGAGATGAAGAATTATCGGAAATAGAAACACAAAAAAACGAAATGCTTGATCAAGAAATACGTATATGAAAGCATAACGGTATTTTCATTTATACAAATTACTTATTAAAATATGTAAAAATAAATTATAATGAACCTGTATTTTAAAATATCTTAGTTAAATAAAATTTTTAATTACTAAAGTGGAAACATTTTAAATAGATATATAAAATGTCAAAATGAAATGTTTAATGAATTGTTTATGAAGGTAATATATAAATATTTTACAACTAATTTAGGTTTATATTTAAATACTCTATTAGTAAATCAGTTTTTATATTTACTTATATTTAATTTTTGTTATAAAATTAAAAGTTTTAAAAACATAGAAATCATAAAAATAATCAAAGTAGTGAATATAAATAATAGGATAAGTTTTCGCGAATGCCATGTAGTTTCTTTTGTTACAGATCTGTATCGCGTTGCTAAGGCGGACTGAAAAAAAAATATCTTAAAAATCTTTTTTTAAATTAATATTTGACTATTATATTTTTATTCTATTCTATCTAATTTACTTTGTCTTACCCATCCTCCATTAGCTTGGATCCATGCAGCAAGATCTTCTTCTAAAACATCTGTCATTCCTTGAATGAAAAAAATTTTTAATATTAAATTAAAATACTTTTAAGGCCAAAATATCAAAAGAAATATAATTTTAATTTTAAAATAATTACCTCTCTGTATGGCAGGTAAATATTCAGGTTTGCCCTGACGTACACAATCCACGGCAATACCACCAGCAATTGCATAAAGAGCTATCACTTTACTCCAAGTCATCTCACCATTCCTGATCATCTCTCTAGAGACATCCACAATAGCTTCACTAGCAGACTGTTCTGATGAGAAACTACCACATCCAATTTGTCGTGCAACACGATTAAATAAATTTGGATGCATTTTCTCGAGTTCAGCTCCAACTGATACTAATTCTGGATAAACTTCTCCCACAACTGCACCACCAGGAAGCAACATAGCACTTCTCATTCTTTTCAATCCAAGCTTTCGATGAAAGATTCCAGACCGTTTCAAACGATTTCGGATATATTGAGCACATAAGGAAGATCCCTGTATCATTAATTAAATAAATCATTACTTTCAAATTTTAATTTTTAATTTTATTTTCAATGTTAAATAATAAATGTTATGTTTTAACTCTTAATAAAATTATTTAATTAATATTTAAGAAATTTATATTTCAGATAATGATATTACTTGAGATACCGTAAGCTCGATTGAGGCTGAAACCGTTCTCCATCGAATTGTATGAGAAATTTTTCTGGATACAACATCACTAACATTGCTAAATCTTCTCCGCGCCGAATCAACTACATGAAAAGGTGAGACTTCTTGATTATTAGCAACTGGAAAAGCTGCCAAATTCGAATGAAGAGATAATGCGAGACTATTTCTGCGATAAGGTTGTCCTGCATTTCCAGAATTGTCTTCCAAGCCACGTAAAGATCCGACGAATCCAGACATTGAAGGATCTTCCGTGGAGAATTCCTGCCATTCAGGTTTTTCAGGCTTGAAAAATTTTAATGATTGTTAAAAAATTTAATATTTTGTTTCTTAAAACGAAGAATAATTTTTTTTCTTATTTATAAAGAAAAAAAATAAATAAACATTTAACTTATTAAAAATTTTGATTATTAATTTATGAATTCAATAGAAAGAATTTCGTATAAAATTAATTCATTTTATATCATTAATAGTTTGCATTAAATTTTTTTAAAAATTTATGAACTAAAGACAAGAATTGAAATAAAAAAGTAATTATGTTTAGCATAATTCTTTAAATAGAAAATTAATCGTAAATCTATTCTAACAATATTTTAATTTTGTAGGAATAATTCTTGCGGTTTCAAAAAGAACTATTAATGAATATTTTCAATTCCTTTATTATAATCTTAAAATATACAAATACACACTATCACGCATATTACGAAAAAAGAATGATGATAGATTCTTCTCTCCTTGTTACTACAAAAAGCTGTATATTCACACCAGGCATCGTAACGTAATTATTATTCTGCAAGTATAGCTGATATTATCTCGCAGCCTTATTTAGTGCAGCTATTTGATATGCTTCGCGGTACTTTGTATTCCGCCTTGGTAAGATACAATCTTATTGTATGTATATTACTCATTTTCATTCGATCATTTACCTTTTTAACGAGCAGAATTAGGTCTGGTATGTCATTTTTAAATTAATTTGATATCCGCGTGATTCGTTAATTGAAATGAGACATTAATTAAAATATTATATTTTAAAAATACAATCATGAAATTAAAAAAAGAGTTAAATTTTTTGAAAAGTATAATGTATTCAAGTTAAAAAAAATAAAAAAAATTTATACTTTATACTTGGAAATTAAATATTTTTTATATTTGTTTTAATAGTAAATTTGAATAGTAGAATTAATGAAAGCATATAGACATAGAAAAGAGAGAAAATATATAATATAAAAACAAGAAATATTTATCTCGATCGATTTTATATTTAAAAAACAATATATTTTTGTAAACAAGTTAATCTATTTATTAGATTTGAAAATTATATTGAAAACTAATGATTTTCAAGAAAATTTTTATGACTTTCTAATTATAAATCAATTCATAAAAAAAATTATTTTATATCTGTATAGTGAAGTCAAAGGCAACAAAATTGAAAAATTAATTGTATGTTGTCAATGCTTGATTCGTTTGAATGTTAATTATCAGTTATCAATAATGTCTAGTTAGTCAATTATTATTTGAGAGTTTAAATAATTCTATTATTCTATTCATTTGTATCCTAATCTTATCTAAATAGTAAAGGAGATTATAAATATCTACAATTAAAAAGAGTAAATATCCTATAAATAAAAATATTGATTTATAGTTTATATTATTAAAAGATCAAAATACTAAATGTTTTAGTAAATATAAGAAAAGAGATACAAATTGAAAATTAATTCAGAAAATGAAAAAAAAAGATTTAATTAAGAATTATTTAATGTTACAAAAATTAATTAGAAAGCATAATATAATAAATATTTAACTTATACATACTTTATTGTATTACATTTTTATTAAGTAAAAGATATAAGTATATTAAATATTGAATGATTATCAAGAGATAATTATAAGTGTTTATAATTATAAGAATTATTAAAGAAAAAATTTTTTATACGATTAATTTCTGATAATCTTAATAATCGATATTATCTTATAAATACAATTAATCAGATGGAATAATAATGAAGATTTAAAGAAAATAGAGACGTGAAGAAGTAAAAGTTATCTAATATTTCATTGAAAAAAATTGAAAATTTAAAAAAAAATAAATAAGAAAAAATAGAAAAATTGGAAAACTAAAAAAAAAAAAAAAACAAGAAAAATCTTGCCACTCAGTCTGTTTAAATTTAAGCATGTTAAAAAAATGACATGAAATATATTTTTCTTCACTTAATAGAAATTCTTAATTCTCTAATCTCTCTAAGCGAAATCTCTAAGCGAGTGTGTCAAACTACAGGATATGGAATACATTAAATCTGTAAACACAAAGCGCAGAGTTGAATGAATTTACCATCAGCAATGCCGTCTCCTCCTGCACCCCCAAATGAAAATCCATCTTCATTGTGATTAACGTGCAACCACCTCACTGTCATCTAACTCATTCCATATACACATTATATGCGTAATATGTTACTGAATTATCGCTTATCAACGGTATAACTGGCCGGTTGATTATCGTTCGAGAAGTATGCGCGACGGCGCGTTAAATCGTTTGTTTTATCAATTTCCAAGGCTTATTTCCGTGCTACAATAATGCAGTACTGATAATAAAGTCGTCATTTTTGCATTTTTTTAAACGATGAATAACGTTAATTTCTTATTGATGTATCTTGCATGAAGTTATAGCATGAAGATAATGATTTTTATTCTTCGAAAATCAAAATAAAGAAGCAATTAATTTGAAAAATTGCAATCGCATTTATAATGAGATTTAAATTATTCTTGAAATTTAGTAAATTGATTTAAGAAAGAAAATCATAATTAGTTATTATAATTACTTTTTCTAGATGAATTAGTTATAATTACTTTTAGCTACTTTAAGAGGAAACTAAATTAAATTAATTGATAATTAGAGCAATGAACTAATTGCTTAGGAAAGAATAGCAATTAATTAAATTTTAAAAAGATACTTGAACAAAAATGGAAAACTGACATCATTTCCACAGTTGCGTTAATTATTTATTGCATGGAAACGTTCGCAACAATATGATTAGAATTAATAGAATTTTGTTTTTACTTAAAATTTTAATTTCAACCATTTTATAATTTATACATATGTATAATATGTATAATATAATAAATGTGTTGAAACTTTAAGATGTATTAAAACGTAATTGTTGATACTTAATAATATTAAAGATTTTATATGTAAATGATATTTATTAATTCATTTCCTATATATTTATATATAACATTATATAACATCATTGACAATATTGATTATAATCTATAACCTGTATCTACAATCTTAAATAATTTATTACAATTTGCTATTTATATATAATCAAAAATAAAATTAATTATAATTAATAATTTTTAATATATATAATTAACAAAAGACTAAATGTAAAAAAACTTTTTTAGTTTTAATTAAAAACGTTATCGATGAAAAATCGAGCTTATAATCAGCAAAATTGTATAGGCAAGTGTTAGATAATTATATATGTAAAAAACATTTATCACGTGTCTTGTTTGAAAAGTTTTGCATAGAAACGTGCAGATGGCATGAACGTGATCAAAATTATGAAACATTCAAGAGAAATATATTGTTGTATTACTTAAAATTAAATTTTGTTCAATTTTTTATTATTTTTAAAAATATATAAATATTTGCGGTTTTCTATCACGTATGTTATTGTAATTTAAAAACTTTCATGATAAATTAATATAATATAATAATAATAATAAAGTAATATTTTATTATATATATTTTATGTAAAAAAAAAAACATTCAAATTTGAAAATTAGATTTTATATTGTGAAAAAATGATCAAAAATATTGAAATGAATATTAAAATATCCATGAAATATAATTTTTTTCTAATATAAAATATTTAACTAGTATAAAATTTTTTTAAATTTATTATTCAAAATTTGAGCTATTTCACAGATACATTATTATTAAAATTATTACGGAAAAATTGCATATTCTTCGTTGAATCATCAATTAATTTTGTTAATATATTGAAAAAAACATAAATCATAAAATATCTTACAATTTAATTATAGTTGTATTGATTTATTTATCTTAAACATTGTTTTATTCGAAAATATAAATTTGAATAAATAAACTTTGTGCACAATAAGTATCGGAATTTAATTGAAAATAAATTGTCTTTAATCGATAAATCAACGAGAGCGTATAACAATTAAATGGCTAAGAGCCAATAAATTTTCTCGCGCAGTTAAAGTCAACATAAACGTAAGAATATCGAGAAAGAATATAAATCACATTTCGAGAAAGCGAATCGATCAAGTAAGTGATTCTTTATTCCGAGAAAGTGCTTACTTCGAGCGCCAGTATCGAACGTATCGAATTCTTCGAATCATCAATCGTGGCCTTTTGCGAACATAGTTCGTATTTGAGGCACGTACATTGATATCACTCACGAAATACGAATGTAAAGCATTAAGAAAAAAGAAAAATTAAATAAATAAATAAATTAATTTTCGAATAAATTTTCGAATTAATAAAGAAATACAATTTTTATGAGAAATTATTAAAAAATTGAAAATTTTCCCGCTCTCTTTTTATTCTTTTTATTTTATTATCAGTTATGCGATGTTTTACGCACATGCGCACAAATAATTTCCTAGTAGTTCATCAAGTAAGATGATTCAAATTAATAATTATTGATAATATTGTGCATATTTTAACATCTTTTTATGACAAAACAAGAATCATTTATTAAAGAAAACAAAAAAAAGTAAATATGAAAATGAAATATTTAAGCATTAGATAAACATATTTAAAACCATATATATTATATGTGTAAAAGCACCAATATGATATATATATAAAATAACATTTATTATAATTTATGATTATTATTATATTAATTAATTTTATATTGAAATAATGAAATAGACTCAACTATAGAATCTAAAGAAATATCAATTTTAAATTGTAATGTTAATAAAACACATTTTATTAGATATTTCTTTTTTTAAATTATTGATATCTTGTTAATAGCTGCTATATCGTTTCTTTACATAAATTTACATATTTTATTGCTTTGTCGATTAGACTCGCCGATAAATTTCAAAGATGACGTAAGGAAGAAGAAGAAGAAAAAAAAAGAAATATAAAATTGAAAGGGCGACGCATAACTAACAGTACGAAAATAGGTCGAGACAACATAAAAGATGCGGGCTACATATTCTTCAGGTAACGGCCATACCCCCCACTTTTTAGAAATTTTCCCAAAAAAATGAAACAAGTTTTGTCATACAAAATTACTCTCTTTATTATCACTTGCAATGATTAACAAATGATGATTTAAAAATTTTTTTAATATAAAAAAAATAAAACAGAGTATTTATAACATTCGATATGATATGAATATTCGAATAATCTAAACAATCACAGTAAGATATTATTACAAAATATCATTTTCGATAAGGAAAAGTTATTTCTTAATAGGAAAAATATTATTAAATTATTATTACAACTAACATAAAATTTTATTTATCTATTTTTTATTGACAATTAATTATTTGCATGTGTTTCAACAAGAAGCTATATTATTACCTTGAATATTAACGAAGTACGGAGAGTTATCGTTTTTTTCTTTGATGATCGCACAATTGTATTTCATGCGTGAAATTGGTTCCACACACTTTTGTGGAAATTTGTACGTTCAATCACTTTGTTATACACTATATTAAAAGTTTCTACCACGATTCATTTCAGTTAGAACACAGCGATTTTATATTAATTAGATTATTTTTATAGTTAAGAAAAAGAAAAGAAAAATAAAGATTATAGTTATCGAAAGATGCGAGAACACGATGCGACGCATCGAAATTGTAGGGAACACAGCGCAAACAATACTGGTGACTTTCAATTACATATGATACAACTTGAAAGCGTTATATGAACGCCGTGCGAATGTTATCCCTACTTGCATCGTTGTACAACGGTTGAGTCACTATATAAAAAATATTTCATAAAGAAACATATTTTAAAAAATTTTAAGAAAAATTGAAATTAATTTTTTATTCATATGTATGTATATGTGTAAATAGAATTATTCTAAAATATAAAAATTTTCATAATATTTTTTCAATTCATTTTTTTTAAAATAACTTAATATAATAAAATATTCATTGATTTATTGTATAAATTCATTAGAATGTTATTGAGTATATACGAAATATATGAATGAAAATATAATAGATTTCAGATGAAAATAATTTTATAAATTTGATAATCTAATCATACATATAAAAATAACACTATCAATCATATTAAAAAGGATTTAAATGGTTAAATATTATTGTTATAATTAAAATCAAAAAGTTTTATGACCATAATAATACATGAAAAATATATGAATACATAATATTAAATATTAAATGTAAAAAATCTTAATACAATTATAATTTAATGATCAATTATAATCTTTAAATAATAAATACAAATATTTAAAGATGACATTTTTTAAAATATTTTTTATGATTAAAAATTTATATAATGATATTGATATTTATATAATGATAATGATCATTAAATTTTTATCATGTATATTAATTTTAAATAATTAAAATAATATCGATTATTTCTAATAATTCAAGTTTTGCATCTGTTGAAAATGATCACTAAAGATGTAAAGGATTCTAATGATAATATTTTATATATTTTTTTTAAGTATTACTTAAATTACTATAAATTTTGTAAAATGTAATTGATCGTTAAAAAAGTTGATATTTGATTGTCTAAATTTTGAAAATTTTGTTAAATTATCATTAATATTGTTAAAATGTATAGTCCAAAATTACTATTAAATTGTTTTTATATGAATTTAAATAATAATTATTTTCATTTATTTCTTATCTATAACATTTTAAAGGATTTTGGGATATCTTCTTTTAAATAGATTTTACATTATAATTTAGTTTTACATGTTGGTTTTTTGGGATCACATGCAGTATATTTATATAATAAAGAATGTCACATGAAATATCCTTCTTAAAATAGAAGGAACAATAAGTGAGATGATAAATTCGTATAACAATATTCTATTCACAACGGTGATATGATAAAGTAGCATCGAGAGGCAACAATTTTCTTCGGAAATAGTACAACTTACATTATATATATATATATATGTATAGTATAACAACACTGCGGAAAGCTTGAAAACACTCCATTCAGTTACATTTATTTTCCTTTTCTCATCATTTATAGGCATATTTATATTTATATATATAT